TTTGGTTAAGAATTACGGAAATTTGAAGACTCGAATATCGGTTCAACCTGCCGACTCTGGCATTTGACTAATATTTCATATAAATACTATATGTAATATACACATTTATATAGTTTAATATTAAGTAATTCTTAATCACAAATATCCTTGGGCATGTGCCCTAAATGTACCTATGGGTTCAATAATAATAATTATATTCCTAGTTCTTTTGAATTATTGAAAAACATTTCGAGGCACTAACTAGTGAAATCGTAGATAAAATGATAGGATTTTCTATAGTAATTAATTAGCTTACTTTGTGGCTCCTAAACCTTTCTTCATTTTATATATAATAAATCAAAAATCTTATAAATATATGCATAACTATAAAAACTTTATTTTGTATATATTTCTATTATTTCTATATTATTCTTTTAGCCAAAAATGTTCTATAAGCTTTACAATAATATTTGTTCTGAAGATTATATTATTATTAATGTCATTTTTATACATTAATAAAGCATTTTTATAATATCATAAATTTTCATTTTGTTTTAATTTAGATAAACTCATAAAATGGGAAAAGTATTAAAATCGACTTAATGCTAATTCAAATAATTTGCCGTTCTATTAGATTTGCAGCATCCCTGGCAGCTGTCAAGATGGCCGTTCTGCGCATTTTTCAACACTGCGCCAACGTTTAAGGGAAAGAGCAACAGAGAGCAAGGAGCGCGAGAGCAAAACACGGCGAGAGCCACTGAGAGAGAGTTTTGTGTGGCGTCTAGCGGACGGCCTGGTCCCGCACAGCATCCAGTGCTCAGTGGGCTGGCAGTGGCAGCAGCAGCTGCTCCAGGTAAACTGATACACGAATAAATAGATACGTCGAGCGAGGGGCGAGGGGCGAGGGCGAGGTGTTGGCCACACAGGAGACAGTTGTGTGGAAAATGTGTTGTATTGAATGTGCAATGCAATGAGAAAGTGCTTGCTACAAAATGTGGCACACAAACAATTAATGTGAAATGAATACAACAATAACAACAGCAGCAACAACAACAACAACTGAAATGTCAAGGACTTGAACAAATTGTAAGAGAAGAGATTTTAACGCCCGGATTTGTTTCAATCAAAAGGTGCTAAAATGCGTGCCTACTATACTGCAAAGGACAGCCGAAAATTCGGCGATATGAGCTATGAGTAAGTATGAGTGTGTGTGTGGTGTGTGTGCGTGTGTGCCTGTGCACACATAGGCCTCTGTGTGCGTGTGTGTGTGAATGAAGCAATTCGTAAGCCATTTGCACGTTGAGTTTATCCCTGTGTGTTTGCCCAAGCGAAAATGCCATTTGAAGCATCAATTGAATAGAATTTTAATGCAAATATGCTTTTCCCTAAGCCGCAAGCAGCGTAGTCCATTTTAAAGAAGCCAAGGCATATCTGATATTTATCAGATATGCCTTTCAGCTCCCACATCTGAGAGGTAAATGATGCAAAGAGCATTGCATACTTTTAGGATGACGGCAAATCATTCCGAATCTTTGTCATACGGGAAAGTTTTTGGAATGTGGAATCATTGAGTAAAGCCGTAGGCTATGAATAAGTGCATGCATAATTGATTATTGCTTCTAAGTAAAGAGAAAAACTTATATATAATAGTCTAAAAGTTCCTCTAATTCTGAAGATCTGAAGATTCACTATCACTTTTTGCCAAAACTCGATTTTCACTGTCATATATCGAGCCTCACGCACTTGAAGATGCTCAGAGCTATTCTATTCTGAAGTATACAAACATATCAATGCATACATCGTATAAACATGTAACATTCAAATTCTATTTCCATCTTCTTCTTCGCTTCTGCTACTACGAAATGCAGTCATAAATTTGAGCCTGCTCAGCTCGACTCTAGTCGTTAAAGATGCATATATGTATGTATATGTATATATCTATTTACATATATACATAGGAATAGCTAACTGCATGTATCAAAGAAAACATTGACAACATCACGTCCTTGTGCTCGTAAAAAAGGCGCCTTCGACTTGTTCGTGCCTGTCTCTTCAAAGGATGCTCTGAGGTGTAAGCACAGCAAGCCTCAGTACATGTGCCTATGTGTGTGTGTGTGTGCTGTATATTATATTGTTTGCTGCTTTAATTAATGATATGTCAGCAGCAAATATTGCAACCTATAGACAAGCTTGTTGAGGCACAGCCTAAAGGCAATGAACCTTTGCCTCTTCGACACGAAGGATTAGAAGAAAAGCCTGAACTGAAAGCTATACACTTCGCAATTAATGTTAGGCATATTAGTTTTAATCTTCACAACGAGCTCTCACTTCATTCATGTTTCAATAAAAACTGAAAGGAACAGAAATCATAGTTCCGCAGGAAAATGTCAAACTCACCTGAGTTGCCTGAATCTGATATATTCTGAATTATATATTTATATGTCATATATATACATATATACTTTGATCTAATATTTTTTGTTTTCTAGAATGATTCGGATATAGAGTTTTCATTATTTTTACTTCTATTTGCAGGAGCAAATATCTGATGGACCCGAAGTATATGACAAAACGGGATCTACAGCATTATTACAAATACTATAACATGACCCGGAATCGTGGGCAGTTCAAGAAGATTGTGATCATCATATTCTGCGTGTGCGTCTTCTCCTACTTGTTTGTGGACTACAATTTGAGGACGCAGCTGCTCCGGCTGCGAGATCGCTTCGACTTCATAGCGCGCATTGACGATGAGTACAATAATGTGACCCAGGCCTACTTTCTGGACACGCCTGGCTGTCGGATGCCCCATTTCGAGGAGATGGACGAGACTGTGTCGCAGTTTCTGTTCAGTCCGTCGGATGTGAAATGCCCCAAGCCCTTGACGAGGACAAGCGAGACGATCGCCGGGCAGTTGCTGCTCAACCTGAATGCCCAGGAGCAGCTTAAGTACTATAAGATCAAGAATCTGTTAGACATCAGCTGTCACTATAGCGAGATTCGTCGTGTCAACGACAATAAAAATGAGGAGCTGGAGCCAGTGCCGTTCAAGCTGGCCCAGATCATGCAGCTGCCCAAGGACTTGGAATTCATGTGCATGAGCTGCAAGAATACATCTGGGTCTGAGATCTACTCCGACTGCCACTTCTTTGTGGTGGACAAGCCCGACAATGGAACCATCCACAAGAGGAGGCCCTTCAAGCGTGTGAGCTTCAACAGCACTAGCAACAATAGCAAAAACAACGATGACAGCGGCTCCTCGCGGGAGCGTCTCTCGGTCATGGTGCTTGGCATCGACAGTGTTTCGCACTTGAACTTCCTTCGCCAGATGCAACGCTCTGCGAGCTTCATAAGGAACAATCTGTCGCATGTGGAGTTCTGGGGCTTTAACAAGGTGGGCGACAACACGTTTCCCAATTTGGTGCCGCTGCTCAGCGGGCTGACTGAGCAGGAGCTGAATATATCCTGCGTGGCGCCCATGGCAAAGCCGAGCTTCGACGGCTGCTCGTTCCTCTGGAAGCGCTATAAGCAGGCGGGCTACAGGACGATCTTTGCGGAGGATGTGAGCTCCCTGGGGGTGTTCCATTTCGGCCGCAGTGGCTTTCGGCGACAGCCAACGGATTACTATTTCCATCCCATGATGACCCACATGGAGGCGCGGATTGCCTCCAACTGGGTCCTAAATCTCAATGTCTGCATGGGCGGCCGCAGGACGGCGGATGTGCTCTTCGAGTACCTGCGAAAATTTGTGCCAAAGATGCAGCATGAGCTCTTCTTTTCGTTCTTCTGGTCGGTGACGCTCACACACGATCAACTGAACTGGCCTCGGCTGCTGGATGCGCAGCTGACAAGGACCCTGCAGCGGCTGCAGGAGTCGGGCGTGCTGAACAGAACGTTGCTGCTATTGATGTCCGACCACGGCTTGCGCTGGGGCTCGTTTCGACGCACCTACCAGGGCATGATGGAGGAGCGGCAGCCATTGCTCATAGCCCTGTATCCAGGCTGGCTAAAGAAACGCTACCCGCTGGCCATTGCCAATCTGGAGTTGAATGCCAAACGACTAGTCACGCCCTTCGATCTGCATGCCACACTCCTGCAGCTGCTCGACCTGCGCAACTTGGAGACGGAGCGACTGCAGCAGAGCGCCGCAGAGCTGCAGGACGCCGACAGTACGCTGCAGCGTGGCATCAGCCTATTTCTGCCGGTGCCCGCGGAGAGGAATTGCGAACAGGCTGACATTGCGGCCCATTGGTGCACCTGCTACCAGCGCAAGGAGCTGGCCACGAATGACGCTCGCGTGCAGCGGGCCGCTCGCTACTTGGTCCGCTTGATCAATGGCCGCCTCTCGGCGCACTCGCAGTGCCGGACGCTCTACTTGAACTCCATTTTGCAGGCACTGATCGCGGCGCCGCATAAGAAGATTGTCAAGGATATAACCAGCGATTACGGCGTGGATATTACGCTCAGATTCCAGACAAAGCCGGGCCTGGCTGTCTTCGAGTCGACGGTGCGGATGACTGGCTTTACGAGTGCCCTAACAGGCACGATCAGCCGCATCAACTTGTATGGCAGCCAGAGCTACTGCATCAAGGACTCGGCTCTAAAAATGTTTTGCTACTGTCACAGATAAGCCCCTTAAATTCGTTCTACTTTCAAGACTTGTACGCCCAATACGTAGCCTTAGAGATTTTATTAACACACATCTAACCTTTAAGTTTGAACAACAAATAAATACAACACGTATTTCTATGAAATATTTACCGCAGACTTTGTATAAAGTTATTCAATTGAAAAGTCGAAAAACAAAAAACTAACTTATGTAGCCATTTAGAAAGATCGCCAGGTCTTGCAGAAATTCAAGTATTGATATTAATTTAGAGACAATAACAAATAAACTTATTAAACACTTATACGCTAGATGGCATTTCATTTTTAATAAAGTAGCAACTAGGGGAACTCTAGTCGGGAGTACCCGGTTAGGAGGCACCCCTTCGCTGGGTGTCTTACAGCATTCTGCATACACAGATGCTCTTACATTTGGACTCATACACTTATTTATGTACATCTAATTTTCAATTATAAAACATGGGGTGACAGAAAAATGTCTTTTATATATTAATCTCTTACAATAGTTCAGTCTCTCAGAAATAAAGGGAATTTTTAAATATGCGATAGATTAAGGTCTTGCATATTATAAATTTGTGGTATGTACTATGTACGCGACTATGATCCGTCAATTCTCTAAGCCTCGGTTATTGCACTGTCACCAGCGCATCGAACTCCACCTTAATATAACCAACATCAATATAGATATTATCACATAGTGGCCCCTTTTTTACGATTAAGTTGGTATGCTTAAAAGATTTATCCATCTGCAATATAAATAAACATTTTAGAAACAATAAGTGAGTGAAATCATTAGCATTTACCCGTGGATTGTCCATGTTATCGCAGAGTAGTTGCAAAGGAGTGGAGCGCTTGCTCAGCACGCTCCTCATGTGATACCTGCCAATGTCGAAGAAACTATCGTCTAGCTCCATGCCATAAATATTTAAGACCTGCAGCGAATTGCATTGGGAGACCGTCTGCCAGAGCTCACTTTCCGAGCACCAAATTTGAAGATTGACCAAATCCAATTGCCTCAATTGGGGAAAGCATTTTAACAAAGCCTTCAATTGATGTGCTTCAAAGCCTTCATCCTCAACCAGGGTCAGCTGACGCAGATGCTTCATTTTTTCCAGAGTTCCTGTTCCACAATACCAGATGCTATCGTTGAAGCTAATCCGACTTATGTGTTCAGCCCGCTTATCTATAATCCAATTGAGCACCTGATCGGTTTTATCTTCCCCATAGAAGCAAAACGTTCGTAGATTGGGTAGAACTACAGTGCTATCAATAAACTGTTGGAATAGGAAATCGGTTTGAACTGTTATCTCCTCTAATTTCAAGAAGTTGCACATGGATAATTCTGCAGCTGGTTCACAATCACAATCAGATAGGTCCAACCGCCGCAACTCCGACCATTTCTGTATTATTTTGCTGTAAAATTTGCCGCTCAGCTGAACTGAGGTGAGATCTGGAAAGATATCCACTAACACCTCATGTACCAGCTCCTCTATTGCCTCGCAGTCATCATCCAGGGAGAAGGACAGCTCCCGCAGGCTAGGAAAACTGTAGCTAATCCACCTTTGCAATTCATAACTCTTGATATATTGGAGCTCCAGCTGTTGAACCGTTCCACTGATGCCGCTCAGGAATCCCTCCAGTTGCTCTGGATGCTCCTCCAAATAAGCGAGCATCTTCTTATCTAATATCCAGCTCGATTTGTGTTGCCAGTGGTAGATTATATTATTAGGCAATCGGCTCGAGGCATTGTGCGAGGTTGCCTCCCACAGTTTCAGCTGGCCTTTCAGCCGCAGAGAGCCAATAATAAGCAGTTGGCAATCGTCGCTTAGACTCTCCATTATTTTGGAAGCGTATGAGAATTACAAATATTTGTTAGCTCGTCTTGAGTTTTACCGGACAGCTGTTAGAAAACAGACGCAGCAATCTAACACCGAAAACGAACAGATTTGAAGTTTTTTGCAGTGCTAGTGACATTTAATTTTAGCCACATATTATTTGTTGACATTATGGATTTAGGCTGGAGATAAATTTACATTCAGCCCTCGCAGCCCTGGTACACGAGCGATGACTATCGATGACTATCGACGACTGGAATACGATACTGGCTCTAACCATATGGTTAGTGATACTGGTTATCGTCTCCTATTTTAAATGGCTATTTTAAATGGCTTTGCTCCATTAATAAAGTCATTCTCTTTACCTTAACTGCTTCAGGAACTAAATTCGATATTTGTGTTGTATTGTTATGGGTATATATATAATTGGCATGAAGCATTGGAGAAAAATTCAACTCCATCTGTGGCTTAGAATACTTATGAATGATGAAACTTCCATATATTAAATAATTTTAAATTTTCTGCCTAATTCGTCTTAACTTACTTCTTGTTCATTACCTGAAATCAATTATCTAACTAAGTATGAATTTTCTCACGCCAAATAATTTTTTGTACCGCAACGGCTGCGCTAATTTAACAGAAAATATATCGGCTGTAACATTCATATCAGCTGTAACATTTCTATCGATAAGTGGAAACATCGATATGCTCAGTGCAGCGCTTTTTTGCCATCTTTAGTGCAACAACAAAAATTCCAACGCAGCCAAAAAAAAAAAAAAAAAAAAAATTACAAGCTAACGCTAAAAGTTTTGCGAAATATTTACACGTAAATTAATTTTTATAAAATTGTGTTAATGTAAACGCGTTACACGTCGAATCGTCCTCGTCATCATTGGTGCATTGTGCATCGTTATCTTATCAACGACCGTCGCTGGCACCGTTTGTCGTTCGTCGTTCGTTTTTATATCTGTGTCAATCGGAACAGGGGCAACAACAACAAATTGTTTTATGCTCTAAATGCCCCGTGCACGTCCGTGTGTGATCATTCAATAAATATTATATTCAATAAGTGGTCCGTGTATGTGTATGTGTAAATATATGTTCTGTGCGTCTCTGAGGAGACTATGCATAATTAATTCAGTGTCAAAGCTCGCAGCACAATTTCCGCATTTTTTCAAATCATAACGAGTAAAGTTGGTCACTCTAAAAGCAACAACAACAACAACTCCGTAAAGCCGCGATTCTTTTTGTTTGTTTTCCAAGTTGAAAATAAAACCAAAAAAAATCAGCTTCAATCAGCTGTTGGCTGTGAGAGCGCGAGCCGTCGAAGGCGCAAGCGAGATAGCTTGCGTGCGCGCCAAAACGTCAGTTGGCCGCATAGTGGTTGAATGAGCGCAAAACATTTGTGAAAAATTAATACACAATTCATTCAGAGGTAAGTGATCAGCATTCAGCATTTCTTTTATTTCATCTATACAAAATTTTGGCTGTTTTTCATAGCCAGCTTTAATATCGAGAAATCTTTAAATACGCGTGTGTTTTATAAATAAAATTAAATAAAATTAAATAAAAAAAAAAAAAAAAGTGTAAAATGAGTGAAGCATCGAATGAAAAAACCGTGGATATTGCTGCAGCAGCAGAAGCAGCTGCTGCTTCTATATCAAATGAAGCGGAATCGACTAAAGGAACGGAAACGGAGATGAGATCGGGTACGGTATCACCGGCCGCAGTGTCCAAGATCAAGCCACCCAGTCGATCCAATATACCCACACCCGCCTCCTCCGTCACCGGCATACCCACAAAAATCAGGCCTCCGGCCCACTACGGCTCAACTAACTCCGTATCGAAAATCGGAAGACTCTGTTGCACACACACCACTCCAAAGGCCGGACCTCCACCTAGAGGTGAGTTGAAAGCTTTTCCTTCAACCTTTAAACTTTGGCTAGATACAGTCCTAGACCTCTTATATCTATTCAAAACTTGTTTCCAGTCGTTCAGTGTGGCGTAATTCTGGCTCTGCCAATTACAGCTCTTGAACACCCACTCAACTGGGCAATAAATACAGTTGATCTAATCCAAATTTATGGGCCGCACCCACACGGTCAGCACACGCCTCTCCCCCTTTCCATAAATGGGAGAAATGCACAACAACAAATATATAAAACAAAATTGGTAATTGCAATTTGTTGAACGCTGCTGTAAAATCGCTTTATTCCCGCTAAAACCAGCCTTTTTATGGCGAGATTATGGTAGCATCATCTTAATTATGCATAAGTTTAGCAGAATTTCGTTTTCGCTTAATGTACTATATAATGGGAAAACACTAGACATTATCTTTGATTTCTAGAAAATCAAATAAATAAAAATCAGAAATTTGAAATGTTTGTCAACATAATCAGCGATTGCTTTGATTTGCAAACAAATGATTTGTTAATTAGCCAATTAGAGAGAATGCTAAATATCAAAGCACAAAGGCATTAAAAATATAAACAAACAATGGACTGGATCGAATTGCTTTCTGTGTCGGTGGGACAGAGAGGCAGAGGGCCGCCCACTCGCAATTAAACAAATTATACTTGACTCTGTTTCGAAAGAGAGTCTTATGGGCAATTAACTGAAACGCGGCTACTATTTAATTGAGCCGTGGACAGCTGCGTTGGAGGCGGCGTCTGCGACACACACTTCATTCACGTAATTGTAATTGGGCCAAACCACAGCCATTCACGTACCGACCCAGTAGCCCATATTGTTGATACCCATTGTTTACTCTATTCGGTATTTGCTTAATATTATTTTAATGGATTATTCGAGCGATCCTCGCGTCAGGTTTTTATTACACGCGCGTCAAATTCAGAATCGATGCAACCGCAGCTCAAGCCAGTTTCTTGTTTCATATTCACAAGCTCTCTAATTGCAAATAGAAATTCTGTGAGTGCGCGACTGGAATATACCCTGGCATCTAGCTTCATTAGCTTTGAAATTTAGTCGTAAACAGTTGAGTTGATAGAGATTATATAGAGATCATTCTTGTCGCAGACAGTTTTTAGGGACTTCTATATATCATGCAATCATACGAGGTAATCTGAAATGATCTACACTTTCTGTTCTTGCCCGGCTAGGAGATACTCTTGTTAGATTTAAATAATTTGATTATCTTAACTGAATTTCATAATAATTAATCTGTTACATTCTAGATAATACAGTTTAAAGTCGGTATTATCTAAAATAAGTGCAATTTGCTTATAAATTATTCGAGTGAGTATTCAATGAGAAAATGAGTGAGTCACTCTCGTATGCCTGCAGCAGACCATTTCGAATCAAGAAGATAGACAGATATGATAGGCAATCTAGTTTGATATCTCAGAACGTGAACTTAATCTAGTTGAATATGTGAGGTAAGCTCTACTCCCCTTAGTATAGTCTGTGACCTGTTCATATCTGCTAGTTTTTTATCTGCTTTCTAACCAGTGTGCTTGACTGCATATACCCCTTTGTGAAGGGCATTGTCGAGTACTTAAAAGTGAATCACTTGCTTGTACCTGTCACGTATCTCTCAGCACTCAATGCCAAACCCACAGCCGGGCATCTAACCGCCACCCACCAACGAACTGCCCCACCCTCCCCTACCTGCGCCACACTCTCTCATTATACGCTGTGTGTGGGGCTGCGGATCTTTATAAAATGTTTCACTCATAATTGAATTTTGTGTTCTGCGTGCCGTCTGTCAGGCGTCGAGCAGCAGCAGCAGCAGCAGCAGCATCAGATGACACATGAATTGTTGTTGCTCTTGCTATATATATTATATATTTTTGTCAATTTTGTGAACTGCGCATTTCACACAGACACGAAGTGTATTCGCTCTCACTCTCATCTTCCCATTCTGTATATATTTTTTGCACTTTCTCGTTAGCGTTTGCTGTTGTCTAGTTGAGCGCTCGTGGCTGAGCTTATGTCATTTTATTGATCTCGATCGGAAACAACAAGCGCGCTCTCCATATTGAAAAACTTACAATTTTGCGGGCTTAATTGGCTGCTCAATACTCGCTCACAGCACGCAAAAGCGTGAGTACATTCATCTCTCTTTCCGGTTCAGTTTATGAAGTTTCCAATTAGTATGACGAAACCCAATATACTCGATGCCACTACGTGAGCGAGTACATTAAAGCTGAAAGCTCGATTTGTCTTCGACTTAAGATCAGATCGCATCGTAAGCTGTAAGCTTTTAATGGATGGGCACATCCGCAATCTGATGAACTTTGTGTGACAGCGAATGACACAGTGTTGACCTTTACTTATTCATTATTTCGCTTTTTATTTATAGTACTTCCAATTGCCGAGCAGATTGCAGATTTATCCTCTGTCGAATCTGCCCAGTGGGACTCGACATGCGCTTATTGTTCTTGCTCTTGTGTTGCCTGCGATAAGTGCTAAAAAGCCAAACGTAATTTAGCTTCAGACTGAAAAGCCATTATATAGGCGCCACGATCATCAATCAGTGCACGCACCCATTTTAATTGAATTGGAGGAAAGTGTGAAATTGATCGAATAGAGGCTACCCTAATAATTATTTGAATCTCTTTCGAACTCTGTGGCGAATTCAAATTCCGTTCAATTTGGATAAACTGTGTTGCATATCGAAATTGCTGGAAGATCATCAATCATACACTCAACCATTTTTAATTAGAAACTGGCAACACTAGTCGAACGAATAGGAGACACTCTATATGTTTAAGGTTCCTGAAGTTTCTTAAGAACGTTTTTTCGGCTTGTGCAGTCTCTGATTCTACTTTGAATCGAATTTGCAGATGATGGAAACAAAATCCATTCATTATATGTGTAAACTGTTTAGGCTATTAATTCTTTGCTTAGAAGTAGATCACAGAACAATTTCGAAACGTGATTATTTTACTTTACTGCTTTAAATGCTTTATAATGGATGGTGTTAGCTCTTGTAAAGATTAATAGCTATTTCTATTTCCATTGATTAACACTTGATTCAAAGTAAAGTAGTAGTTTAGCTTCAGTTCACGTTTCAATATGTTAGCAAATAAATGCTCTACTTTTTTATAGGATATGCAAATTTCTTCGAATAGGGCGGCTGCACAGTGTGGCAACACGAGCAGAGCTTTGCCCCCTTAATAAAGTAGTTAAGAGACGATCAGTGCTCCGCTTT